GTTCAAGTAAGACCTTACCAACGGATGGCCATTAGGGTCAAAAATCGTTGGGAGTGCATCCTCCAGCAAAATAACAACATCAGACTTCCTTTCATCACTGGTAATGAGTGAAAAGGTAAATGTGTAAAAGAATGTTTATTAATGCTGAAAGTTTTGCAACCATTTGTTACAAATCAGTAAATGCATTCTGTTCTCACGGGCTTCCGTAGAAGGAAACATGGCATCTAATATGGCATCGCCCAGAGACTTAGACCCACTCCCATGTATTTTAGACCCGGTTTTTATGGTTATACGTCATCAAACCACCAATATTTTTAAACAACTGGGTATCTTTAAACTCATTTACAACAACATTTCAATGGATATTTCCAGAGATTAATGGTAAAAAACTACACATTGTCACTTTAAAGAAGTCATATGCTCGGGTTTTTCAATAAATGTGCTGAATGAATGCCTTGAATTGTTTCCAGTGGACTTTTCTGTTTCAGGAAGTAGAAGTTAGTTGGAGGATTAGGATTTGGAGTCCAACTCATTAATAATCATGATATGCAAATGTATCACCTCTGATTGAATAACAGCAGCATGACTATTAACCTTGCAATGCAAGATGAATTCCCTTGTGATTTGGAGTTTTCCAAACTCAGGAGAATCCTTCTTGTACCACTCCACTTGAAACCGTCCGACTTCCGGTGCAAAATATGCCGATCCAATCGTGTGTCAGCACTGTGCAGTAGGGTGGGAGTAAGCTTTGACAATAGCATCTAGCGCCCGGCTGAGCAAAACCAACACGGCCGCGCTGGTTGTTGCTCGCTTTAGCAGGTTAGAATAACATAACAGTGTGATTTAAAACACCCTTCAGGGTTTCCCCCAGAAAACGTCATAAGCCTGGTTGCCCAGACCACGAGGGTGGTTGGGAGGTAGGGCTACCATCCCTTGTCCGTGAGAAGGGGGCGTGGCTACACATAGAGATCTGGCTGCTGCCAGGTTACATGACTATACCACTGAACGACCTTCAGATTATGGGACAACCGCTCAGCCATGATTGCTTTGTCTAATTTTCTCTCAGTGTGGCTTTTTCTGACCCAAGTGTTTCTTTTATCTATTTTCTTTTGGTGGCTACAGCAGGAAATAGGGGGCCAGACCATTTTCATGTTCAGCATGCACGTGAAAACTCATCATCATATTTTGAAAATAACAAATATAATTTGTTTCTTATCTCTTATATTCAACACTAATTTGAGGTATGGTTGTTTTATGAAAATCTTGAAAACAACACATTGTGGAATCACCCAAAACATTGTAACATGTCAGATCAGGTATCACTTAGAGAATATGTTCTAATTCACCATAAATTACACCTCTGCAGTATTTAGCTCAATTCCAGTAAACCTGACTGTAGGAAAACCAGTTTTACATTTGCTAAAGTCAGTTAATTGTGGTTTTCATCTTGAACTTGCTCCATAGTTTTTAAAGTTTTATATAAACAGTTGATGATGACCTTTAAGTGGTTCAGTAGTATGACTTACTCATTAGGTCAACACGATTAACTTTGACATATAAACAACAAGCATATGTGATCAGTTCATGGTCAGAGTTTGTGTTTAGGATGACTCTTGACTAGTTTGATGTTTTGAACTCAGGATAAGTGAAATAGTTGTAAGAGCTGTAGCATTTGGCCCTAAAGGCTAAGTGCAAGTTTAAGGTTCCTGTGCAATCTTGTTGCATCTAAAGAGTGTGTTCTGTTTAACTCTCAACTTCAACAACTACAAACTTCAGCACTAAATTTGTACACTTGACAAATGATTTTAGATCAGCTGCTGTAGTCATTTTCATTTGTGTCGACGCCAAAAGGTTATGAATGTAATATAGTTATCACTTTCTGCCAGTGCCAGTAAAATCAATTAAAACTATCACACGCGCGCATGCACAGACTCACACACACACACACACACACACACACACACACACACACACACACGGAACAGAAAAGAGAGATGTCAGTGATCTGAGAAGCCATGCAGACCTGTTTGGCAGTTTTATGAGTCTACTCATTTTAAAACACCAGATTTCACCAAGTTCTAGAAATGAGATTCTCAGGTTATAAATCAGAATTATGATTCTGGTCCTCATCATTTTGACTCAGTATCGTAGGATCTTCAGAAACATCAAAGGTTATTTCTGTACATCATTTCTTTCTGCGTGACCTTCTGCTGAGGTTCACTTCTCTGACACTTGACTGATGGTTCTGGGTATTTGGCTCTAAAGAACTGAAATAATCCAAATGCAGCAGACCAGGTCCATCTCATGATGTTTCTTAGGCAGATGAGCACCAACTAACCATACAGCAACAACCGTTTGGTTAGGTATTTTAAGCAAACTGTCATTAATGCATGTTTTTTTTTTTTACCATTAATAACATACTTTTATGTTTATGTTTTTAACAGACACTTTTGTCCAAAGTGACTTACAAGCAGTGTTGGGAGTACCGCGGTACAAAAGT